ATTATGTCTAGTCGGTGAGCTTTATGTGTTGATCAAGGAGTTCCATTGAAGGTTTGGACTAGAAGAAGGATCTAAGTCTAAGGCAAGTATAGCATGGGATCTTCCTTGTTGTCATATACACCTTTAATCATTTAATTCATGCTGCATGTGTCTACCTTGACTACCACTAAGGATATCCTAGTATTTTATATTTGTACCTTGATACCTATAGGTTTATGCATTGGGTAGTATGATGCTAGTGCTCAACCAAAACCATGATCTTGTAACTTGACTAATGGTATATGCAATAAACACTAAAAGATGTTTTAGCAACATGGAACTAGGGGGCTAGAGCATTGGACTGTTTTTATGGTGCTCTAGATTCCTCTCCCTAAGGACTTATCTGTAAGCGAACATTCGGGACTTACAGTACAGCTGTGAGGGCTACATGGCTCTGGCTTTAGCTTAGTATGAGAACCTTTTCTAGCTTGTTAGTGGTTACCTTTATGGCGCAAGAGGGGCTCCGACAGGTATGATCTCGGCCTGCCAAGAGGGTGCACTTTGGTTTCTTGGTATTTTGTTAGTCACTCCTTGGAGGGGGGTTCATGCTTATTGATGGGGAAACCTTAGCGGCCCTAACTTGTTAGACGAACCTTTGAAAGGCTTCATAGTGAACCCTGCTAACCTTCCTAGGTAGTGGGTCAAGAGGCTGATCACCTCAGGCAAAAGGGTAAATTATGACTCACAGTGAAAGTGTACAACCTCTGCAGAATGTAAAACTATTATAACAGCCGTGCTCACGGTCACAATTGGCCATGAAACCCTTATGGAATACATGATGAACACTGATGATACTGATGATAAAGATGCTCACTAATGATTACTGTTTATGCTATTCATTATTCATGTTTACCTGATCATGTGTTTATATGGGCTTGTGATAAACTTGTTTGAAGGGCAGGCCTGGTGTAGTGGTGAGAGCTATCTCACTGAGTCACCAGGTCGCGGGTTCGAAGCAGCCTCTCCGCAGATTTTGTAGGGTGAAGGCTTGCCTCGATTTTTCCCTTCCCCAGACCCCACTCATGTGGGAGCCTCCGGCACTGGGTCTGCCCCCCTACTCCTATGCTAAAATTGTGACAATTAAAAGCTAATTGCAGTTGAACCAGTGTCAGCCTTTTGAGCCTCATGAACCCCATGTTATATTTGTTGAGTATGACATGTACTTACGCTTGCTTTATTTTTCAATTATTTGGATAAAAATCCTGGATGGGTACCAGATTGCTAGAGTTTGGAGGAATTAGGCTTGTGATCAACCAGTCAGTTGTCTCTGTGGAATTGGAGTCTTCACCCAAAGATCGAAGTTGTCTTTCCGCTGTTTGCTGTTTAAGGTTATATCCTTTATACTAAGTACGTTATATATTGAGCATTGTCTATTGATATTGCCCTTATTTGTAGCTATATGTGAGATTTGACTTCCTAGGCTCACATATAGTGTGTATCTAGTTTTGTTCTTGAAAACCGGGTGCTACAAAGTGGTATCAGAGCAATGCTGACTGTAGGATGCAAGCCTAGTAGAAACTGGTCGTTCTAAGGTTTAGAAGTTGCTACAAAAACCATTGCTCTATGAACCTTGATATTTTCTTCTCTACTATATCTCTACCCTTGCTATTCATCTCTACCTTGGTGCCTATTTTAAAGTCCTTGTTCTCATCTTCACTCCTTGGTTTAATATGCTTTTAGAACCGCTCCTTACCACCTTCTTGTATAATCTGAAGATGAGTCTTAGGATTGTTACCCCTAGTACAATGAGGACAATAGTATTGCAAGTTGAGTCAATGATTGAATTGTGCACTTTAGTGCTTTGTTGAATTGTCATTATGCTTCTGCTTGTTTTGAATCTTTGTAATGATTGCAATGATCTTGTTGGGTGTTCCCATAATTTAATTTAGTTTATAGGCCTAAGTATAAGGATTAATGAAATAAATAGTCGGGTTTTGGTTATCTTCTGTTTTCTCTATCATGTCTTTCGGAGCAACCTGTCTTTATCGGCTTATGTCTCTATTCTTGAATGACCAAAAATCTTGAGAAAATTCTGGACAATAGTAGACTTCGATATCTTTCTGTGACCATAAGAACCGCCCTCATATCTATTTTGGTTATGGAGTTATGAAAATCACAAGATGATGCTACCGTGCTGTCTAAAATCTGGAGTAGTTTCTGTTGTACACTATTTTCGACTGCCTGAACTGTAGAATTTGGAAAAGTGTTCTATAAGGAAGTTGTGGAGAATTTGATAAGCTTTCCAACAGTATAAGCTACAACTTCGTTGGATTAATTGAATGAGAGTTACAGTTGTTTTACTACGCTGTTATTTTTTTGCTCGTGAGGAATTCCAGATTTCTTGTTCTTGCCCTACACGAGAGTATCATTGGGATGTCCGAACGTCCTGATACTAGTTAGCTCATCTGGAAGGAGGTGCAAGCTATACTTTGGTGTCTCCTACTTTATATTTTCTTAAGGGGGTAGCCAAGTTGAAGGATTTTCAAGATGAAGTATCATACGTTCTAGTTTGCGCAGCGGAAGCGTGGTGGGCCCATAACCCGTAGGTCCCAGGATCAAAACCTTTGGAGGGGATCAATAAGATAGATGATCACGCCTATGCAAACTATACAACTAAGAAGGGTCCAAATGCTCAAGGTGCCATAAGAAGTTCAGTTATGCTCTCTAGCTCTCACTTGGAAGAATCGGTTAATCTGATAAAAAAGGTGGTACCCAGAGGATGTATATCACTTAAGGGCTTCATCATCCAAAGTAAGTATCCTTTGCTCGGTTGATAAGTTGGATCATCTATGAGGAATTGATGCATTCGTCAATATGGCTCTACAACTTGAGCTATCCTCAGCTGGGAGTCCAATCTTCAACATACCTAGGACAAGTAGGCGTTGATGACATCGGAATGAGATATTTAATAACTATACATGGTTCTATGGAGTCTCAGGAAATCCCAATAATATACTAAGCATGACAAGAAGGTTTGGGATTGAAGAAAGTTAATGATGTGATTGAAATCCACTCGAGAATGTAAGAGAGAACTCATAGTTTTCAATGAGGTTTGGTTAGAGGTTTAAAGGAGGTTTATCCAAGATCATCAAGATATTGGTAGAGCTACCGGAGAAGCTTTTAAGTTAGTTTGGATCAAGAAACCTCAAGTAAGTGTTTGAAGGAGTAAAAAAAGAGAGGTTGGAGTAAAACCTATGTATTAGCTTTGTCAGATTAGGACAAGAGCTTTATATCCACTAGGATGCACCCTGTCAAGGTGTGGGATGTGTCCTTATGCAAGAAGAAAAAGTAGAGGCTTATGCAAGAAAACATGAGATAGAACATCTGACGTATGATCTAGAGTTATCCATTGTGGAGCATGAGGTACTATCTACTTGGGCATGATAAGTGACATCTATGAGGATCATAAGAATCTAAGGAACATCTTCACAAAGTTGGTTTTGAGCATATGACATCATTGTTGGATTGAAGTAATCAAGGTTTTATGACTTGCAAAAGTGCACTTTGGTTTCTTGGTATTTTGTTAGTCACTCCTTGGAGGGGGGTTGATGCTTATTGATGGGAAAACCTTAGCGGCCCTAACTTATTAGACAAACCTTTGAAAGGCTTTATAGTGAACCCTACCGACCTTCCTAGGTAGTGGGTCAAGAGGCTGATCACCTCGAGTGAAAGGGTAAATCATGACTCATAGTGAAAGTGTACAACCTCTGCAGAGTGTAAAACTGTTATAATAGCCGTGCTCATGATCATGAGCGGCCTTGGAATCCTTACGGAATAGATGATGAACACTGATGATACTGATGATAAAGATGCTCACTAATGATTATTGTTTATGCTATTCATTATTCATGTTTACCTGATCATGTGTTTATATGGGCTTGTGATAAACTTGTTGCTACTCCTATGCTAAAATTGTGACAATTAAAAGCTAATCGTAGTTGAACTAGTGTAAGTCTTTTGAGCCTCATGAACCCCATGTTATATTAGTTGAGTACGACATGTACTTACGCTTGCTTTATTTTTCAATTATTTGGATAAAAATCCCGGATGGGTACCAGATTGCTAGAGTTTGGAGAAATTAGGCTTGTGGTCAACCAGTCAGTTGTCCCTCTGGAATTGGAGTCTTCACCCGAAGATCGGAGTTGTCTTTCCGTTGTTTGTTGTTTAAGGTTATATCCTTTATACTAAGTACATTATATATTGAGCATTGTCTATTGATATTACCCTTATTTGTAGCTATATGTGAGATTTGACTTCCTGGGCTCACATATGGTGTGTATCTGATTTTGTTCTTGAAAACCGGGTGCTACACATGGAGAGACCCTAACCCTAATAGACTCAATCTACTCGAAAACTTAATAAAACGATAGATCCCCACTCCCTCCGTCCTCCGGCGAGATGCCGGAGGGGGAATGGAGATCAGCGGTGGTGGAAGCAGGGGCGATGGCGGCGGCAGCAGCTTTCAGGCGAGTCGCTAGGCGATCCGCTCGTTATGTTTCTTGTAACCATGGTGGCAGAGTATTAAGATAACCCTTCTAAAGGTTCAGGGGTTCAATTCTCACCTCCAATCAACTTGTCTCGTTTACTAATAGTTTTACTACTAAGAAACAGTAGGGAACCATTATTTACCTAGGAACTACCTCCCTAGTGAAAGTTGCTGACATGGTAGATGTTGGTCCTGCATATATAAAAAGGTACTTTCCCGCGGAATTGTGTACATAGGAAAAATTGTACATGGAAATAAGTTTCTTTTGTGAGGGATTTGAGTTCTAGGGAAATATATATTATCATGGCAAAGGTATTAACAATCAAATTCAAATACATAATTTATATTTTAATGAAAATTCAAAACTATTTTTAAATGCTGCTTATCTTAGAGTAAAAGGTCTTTCAAAAGAAAATTAGACAAAGGCCATCATGCAACACTAATTTGTGAACAATTGAAACCACAATCCTTTCACTCATCCACGTAGCGCAGCAAATGTTTCTTTGATTGTGATAACCTCAGTATAAACATCCTGCGTTGATGGTCTTTCCTTTGGTGTCTCCACAGAGCATGAGAGACCGAGTTTAACAAGATGCAGGATGCAGCTTTCCACTCCAGCTGTTGCATTATTTCCTTGCTCCAAATTGTTGTACACATCACCATCATCTTCAAAACCTTGAATGATACAAGGATCTAGAATCTCACCAATCTTTTGAGGAAACGCATTCTCCACAAATCTGTGAAGGTTCAAACCATTTGTAAACATCTCATCTGTTGGACACTTCCCTGTCAGCAGTTGTAAGATAATAATTCCATAGCTGTAGACATCACCTTCTGCTGAGAGTTTGCTTCCCAAGCCGTACTCTGTAATTAATGTGTGTGTAACTGATCAAACAATTTTATTTCTTAATATTGGAAAAACTTAGAGAGCATTATTGAATAGTGGAAAGTTTTTGAAGGATAAGTTTTCACCTGGTGCAATGTATCCAATTGATCCTCTTGGTCCCAATAAGCTTGTCGAACTTTGATGACTATAGCTTTGAAGAAATTTAGCTAACCCGAAGTCAGCAAGGCGTGCACACATGACATCATCAAGAAGGACATTGCCGGGCTTTAAGTCACAATGGATCACAGGGGGCACACAATGGTTGTGTAGATAATCCAAAGCGGAAGCTACATCCATTGCTATTGTTATTCTGGTGTCCAAACTCAAAGGGCTTCTCAACCCATACCTGTTCAAATTAGGATAGAGCCAGCTCTCTAGGCTTCCATTAAGCATATATTCAAGAATAAGAGCTTTGAATGGATGTCCTGATGGATCAAATGTTGAGCATGCAGTAATCACCCTTACAAGATTGCGATGACGAGTGTTCCTCAGCGCTTCACACTCAGCAACGAAGCTCTTTGGTGCGCCAAGTTGATCGAGTTTGAAAACCTTGATAGCAACTATATCTTCTTCGAGCCCTGGTCTACCTTTGTAGACTGATGCAGATTTTCCAGAACCAATCAAGTTGGCCAAAGAGAAATCATTTGTTGCCATGACTAAATCAGCATATGAGAACTTCCTCAACTCCTTGCAAGGTGGACGAGATTCTTGTTTAACTTTCTTTCTCTTCTTCGAGAGAACGACGACAAAGCACGAGAAGATGGCCAAGGAAAGAGCAGTAAATCCTGCTATCTTCAGAATACCGTAGGCTTTTCTGTTTTTTGATCTCACTTCACTGCAAAGTGGAAGCTGTGGCAAGTGGATACTGCTGGCACACAACAACTTGTTACCTTCAATGAACACAACCTCTCCTATGTTCTGAAATATCCCACCAGTCGGTACCGGTCCTTCGAGCTTGTTGAACGACAAATTGAGAAGCATCATAGAGCTGAAAAGCTCAAAGAACTCAGGAACTTCACCAGACAAGTAATTTCGAGAAAGATCCATCTCACTGATGCCTCTCAAACTAATGAAAGATTCAGGGATTTTCCCATGTAGAAGGTTCCCTTCCATGTGGAGGGACCCCAAGTGCACGCAGGATCCTAGAGCGGAGGGGATTGTTCCACTCAGTTGGTTATTGGAAATATTCAGCACGTCGAGGTTTATCAAGCCGCCAATCTCAAATGGTATTTCTCCAGATAGTTCATTGTGAGACAAGTCCAGACCTACCGAAAGCAAGGAAAGGGTGAAGAGCTCCTTCGGTATGCTACCAGTGAAGCCATTACAGGAGAGGTTAAGAGTTTCCAGATTTTTGCAGTATCCTAAAGCTCTTGGGATCAAGCCACTGAAATTATTTTCTTGTAAATAGAGCTCACTCAGTTTGTTGAGGTTACCAATGGATGATGGAACCTGTCCAGAAAGTTTGTTTTGGGATAAGCTAAGGACAAACAAGTTTGGAAGGTTTCCAATGGAGTCAGGGAGGTTTCCAGCAAGTAAATTATTTTCCATGTAAAGAATGGTAAGGTTTGTAAGGTGCTCTATCTCTGGTGGTATGGTTCCAGATATCTGATTTTCTCTTAACAATAATACTTGTAAACTTCTTGGAAGATTCCCAGTGGAAACAGGTAATTCTCCTTTAAGAATGTTCCTGTCTAGGTTTAATAGAACCAACTGGCTGCAATTTGCCAATGAGGACAAGAATGACCAGTCTCCGGCTTCTAGCTGATTCATCCCAAGATTCAATTCAGTTAAGCTGGACAGGTTCCCAAAAGAAGGAATAGTACCTTGGAATGAATTGTCACGGAGGTCCAACACCTGAATATTTGTTGCATTGCCTAGTGAAGCAGGGATCTGACCTTGGAAATGATTTCCTTGCAGAATCAGTGTTTGGATGTTTGGAAGGGTAAAACCTATGTCATATGGAATTTGGCCACTGAGTCTGTTGGTGCCGACGGCGAGGTATGTAAGTGTTGTTTTGTGGTAAAGAGAGGCTGGAACAGTCCCTGACAGGTTGTTGAAAGTCAGGTCCAATTGTTCCAGGCTTGGAATCATGCCTAAACTCGATGGAATGGCTCCTTGGAAGTTGTTTTGTGAAAGCAAGAGCCAAGTAAGAGCTGAAAAATTTCCTAGAGAGGAAGGTATGCTACCTGAGAGATTGTTATTGGATAGGATCAGGGTATCTAGTGGTGACAAGATATGCACTAGTGGTGGCACAGACCCAACAAAGTTATTGCCTCCAAGGCCTAGGACTTCAATCGATGAGCTGTTAAAAAGAGCGGAAGGAATCTCCCCACTGAGATGGTTGTTTGTTAGATCTAGGAATTCAAGCGATGAACTGTTTGCAAGGAAAGCTGGGATGCCTCCAGTCAGCGTGTTGTTGGCGACAAGTAGAGCTGAAAGGCTGGAGAGTGTACCCAGCCCATCTGGGATTCTGCCATGTAGCTTGTTGTTGCTCAGGAAGATCTCCTGCAGTTGTGAAGTTTTATTGCTCACCAGACTTGAGGGGATCTCACCTTCAAGGAGATTGGTTGAAAGATCGATGAACTGGAGGCGGGAGGAGGATAGAGTGCTTGGTATCATGCCCATGAGATGGTTGTAGCTGAGGTTCAAATAGAAGAGGCGATTCAGGCTGCCGAGCTCTGGCGGGATGTGCCCGTTCAGCTGGTTGTTTGGAAGGTGGATAGCCCTAAGGAAAGTGAGGCTGCCAACACATGGCGGTATCTGGCCACTGAGGTTGGCCGAATCGAAATCCAGGATGGTGACACGAGATGCGTGCCTCTTGCCGCAGGTGACACCAGGCCAGCTGCAGTACTGCACTGACGAGTCATTGCTCCATGAAGCCATGGCTCCGGCGGTGTCGGAGTCGGAGAGGTGGAGCTTGAGGCAAACCAGGGCCTGGAGATCAGTATCATCGGATGTCGTGCTGTGAAGTGTAGCAGGAGCTGAAGAAGATGCAGTTGAGAATGAGAGGAAGCAGGATGTGCATGCAAATGCAAGCAAGATGGTGACCACAAGCACAGGGAAACCAGGGATGGTGGCCATCTACACGGCGGCGTTGCTGCTGTTTCTACTTTGGATTGCAAACTTTGAGTTGTGGTGCTTGTGAAGCTAACGTGTGTGCATATTTATTACAGAGCTAGCACACTCCCACCTTAGGAGTTAGCACGATAAAAGTTCCAGGAACGGGAGAATGAGTAGTGCTTATTTTTCAGTCACACAAAGTGGTCAAACCTGTACATGGTTTGTAACACGTCAATAGACCTGCGCGCTACCGCCACTACGGCCATGTATGTTCAGTTGCACTATGTACACTGCTGCGAGAAGATATTTGTTTACATGCAAACCGGCCACCACTTCAAGAAGACAAAAAAAGGAGAGAGTGGTTTCTAAGATTTTAAACCGATAATGTCAGTCTCACATGATACGTCTCCACTACTAAACTATACACTCACTCGTGGGTGAGTATATGATACTAGCCCTAACACGCGCGCTTTAATGCACAGGCATATATGTAGTGCTGTAAACAGGAAAACATGGTTTTGAACAGAGCAGTGTTTTTTAGCAGTAAATAAACAGTGTGTTAAACACTACTGAACGGTGTTGTGAATAGGGACTGAACAGTATCGAGAACTTTAGGCAAAGTGCTAAGGGAGCCGGAAATCTTGCACGCACGAGGGAGTATCTTATTATTCTTTCATATTAGCATTTAGTGATCTTGTATTGAATATTATGACCATTAAATAATCTGAAGTGAAAAAGGTTTGAACTACACACTTTTAATAGATCTTGTCAAGCACAATAACTTTGATAAGAGGACATGTCTCCCATTCGAAATTGTTTGAAAAAAATTAACAAATGAATGGAGCTACTCGTTCTACTTGATTGAATCAAGTACTACAAATTTAAGTAAACTATAACATCTGTTTCGTTCTACTTGTGCAAACTTTGAGTTTTCTTTTACAACAATAAACTTTGAGTTGTGGTGCTAACGTGTGTGTATTTATGGAGCTAGCGCACTCTCACCTTGTTAGCACGACCTCTAAAATTTTTCAGGAACGGGAGAATGGCTAATGCTTATTTCAGTCATACAAAGTGGTCAAAGTTGGACATGGTTCGTAACGGCAATGGACCTGCCCACTACGGTCTACGGCTATGGCCCAAAATATACTTTTGAACCGTTTTAGGGAACTTTTATTTGTAGCTATATGCCTACATCGATGATGCATATTTTTCGATAATGGAAGATTGTATTAATTTTCAAGAACAATACATCGATATGATACAAAGTCTTAAAAAAGTCTTCTGGCCTCTGCTTGATTAATATCGATGATGCATATATAACCTCATTTAGCTAGCGATGCAAAAATGTTCTCTACGGCGAAGTAAATCCTGATTGTACATCAGTATATTCATTTCAGTTATATATAACTATGTTCACTACTTCATAATTGTTTTTTAGTTTTAGCAACACAACCATTTTAGGGTATGGACGTGTGAATTTCTAGCCGCCTCTAAGGAAGCCTCCATCAGATCCCACTGACGAAGCTGTCTCTAGAAATACAATTTCAGATGTGGCTGGAAATTCAGCCTCCCCAAAGCCTCCCACAGAGATACCCCATCCCACACACCAGGCGCTACCACCCCTCTCTCTTCCGTTCTTTCTCTGTGTCACATCTCTCTCTCTCTCTTCCTCCTCAAAGATCCACACCACACCCCTCATATCCATGCTAGTGACCAAGCTGGCTGGGAAGGTTGCCTTTGGACGATAGGGCGGCATATTAGCAACTGTTGTGACGAATCGAGCAATCACACTACTACAAAAATGATTTTGCAAGACACTGTCCAAACTTTAGCTGAGGCGGTCACAAAATCCAACCGCCTCGTAAAATACCTGGCGATTAACGGAGTTAGTCGTTTTATTTACCGAGGCACAAAAAATGACCACCTCCAAAAATCGATTTACGGAGGTGGTCAGAAAATGCCCGCCTCCGAAAATGGATTTATGGAGGTGGTCGTTGTAAGACAACCGCCTAAAAAAATGGTTTATTTTCGGAGGCAGTCGTCTTAAGGCGTCTGGCTCCATAAATCGATTTACCGAGGCGGTCCTTCTAAGAGGTCTGCCTCCAAAAATAGAGGCCATTTTCGGAGGCGGACCTCTTATGAGGCCTGCCTCTATTAAACGTGTCCGAGGCCCAGCCAAAGCCCAAATCAGGCTTCTACCGGGCTCATATAAATAAAGGACTTAGGGTTTCTCAACTGCACTCTCTCTCTCTCTCTCAGCTCTCTCTCCCTGGCAAGGCGCTCCTCTATCTTCCTGGCACCGCGCCCCTGCTTCTCCTCCCTGGCTCGGTGCCCCAACCTCTCCGCTGGCGCGGTGCTCCTCTCTTCTCTCCTCCCTCTCAGACTCCCTCTCGTTCTCACGAAAATGGACTCCCTCTCTTCTTCTTACTGACGAGCAGTGGCAGGGGGGCTCGCACCGGCGGCTGGATCCGTGCGTGTGCGGCGGTGGCGCATGCGGTGGGGGGAGGCCCTAGCCAGCGACGGCGCGTGCGGCGGGCCGCGCGCCCGTGGCCAGTGATGGAGAGCCGACGGCGGCCCGTGCGGCGGGGATGCGGAGGTGGAGGTCGGGTCGCTGCTCCGGTGCGGCTCTAGGGCTCCCATGCGATGGCATCTTTGAGCAGGCTCCATGATGGGCCAGATCCGGCAAGGAGGCGCCGAATCTGGCGGAGGGCGAAAGGATCCGGTGGAGGGCGGTCGGATCCATGGCGGGCGCGCCTCCTGGCGGCGGATCCTAGGCCGGGGCGCCACCCGGTGGCAAAAGGCGGGCTCATCCTCCGGCGGTGGATCTAGTGTGGGCGCGTCCTCCGATGGCGGATCCAGTGACAACGACGACGCGTAGATCCTATGGCGGTGACGACGGCGGGTGGATGGGCTCGGCGGGCTTTTCCACGGGGTTTTCTTTTTTGTTTGTTTTTTCTGATTCATTTTCGCAGGCGGGCAAAGCGACCGCTTTCGTAGGTCTGCATTAACGCAGACCTTTTGATGGAGGTGGTTGCTTTGTCTGCCTCGGAAAACCAAAAATGACCACCTCCATTAAGTTTTTGTAGTAGTGTCAGTGCAGCGCCTTCGAGCAGACGCCAAGTAGCATGGGCGAGATGGGGATCGGAGGTTGCTTCTAGCTGGTGCAGCCTTCCTCTCCACACCCTAGCGGCAAGGTGGATCGAGCGATGTTGTGCGATAGATCGGGCACCACCGCTGTACTAAAGGTAGGAGCGGCAACCTCAGTCTCTTCCTACCTCGGACTCTCTCTCCCTTGAAAGCATATAGGCCCCTAGTGGGTTTTGGTGATTAATGACAACGTAAGATTATTGTGACTAATGTGTGTTTTGCAAAAACAATTTGAGTTAGGTCACGATAATGGTGATTGTTTGGGCAATCAATGGTATTCATGCCCCTGTTGATGGAAATCGTTTCGATTTTCAAAGGATGGACAACAAGGCTAAAGACGGCTAGTTCTAAGTGTTGTTTGGCATTGGAGAGACACTTAGATTAGTTTAGGGCTTTGTTTTTCCTTTGGTCATACTATTAAGGAGGGTATGAACTAGTAGCTTGACCTAGGTAAGTCTAATGTGTTAGGTGTGGTGCACACTTGTCAAACTTAGCACTAGGAAGCTCAGAGTTAGCCCAAAGATCATTTGAAGTCAACCCCATTCACAAAGTGCCTTGAATTTGGAGTGTTTGGAGGTGTGATAGAGGGACCGGACGCGTCCGGTCAGTGTAAGACAACACAGAGAGAACTCTATAGTCGATCGAACTCTGACACAGTGTCATCACCGGACACGACTGTGCCTAGGTTTTGTCTACCGTGAGGACCTGATGCTGTGCCCGTGGCACCTGACGCTAGAGGCCAGCGCGTCTGATCCAATGCAGAGAGGTTCCAGAGAAGGGTTTTCTTGACCGGACGCGTTCGAATAGTGTGGACAGGACCCTAGTAGAGTCCGGTCACACTAGCCGTTGCCTATTAGAGCTGACGTCACGTAGCCGTTGGCTACTGACCGGACGCGTCTAGTCACCCCGACAGGCGTGTCCGGTCGTCACTAAAGTTGCTGAGTTGGACCTCAATGGGTATGTTTAAAAGTGGGGGTTATATACATCTCCTACTCGTCCAATATACCTCTCTTACTCATTTGTTCAGCTGAGGCAATCATTTGGAGTTCAAGTGAGAGCAAGTGCCTAGTGGGGTGATTGAGATTTGATAATCCAAGATTATAGACCTCATTAGTGTCTAGGGAGTAGCAAGTGTGCATCTACCTTCCTCATTAGCCTTGTTTGGGTCAAGTGAGAGTTTGTGCATGTTACTCTTGGTGATTGGCATCACCTAGACGGCTTGGTGGTGATTGGGAGCTTGGTGATCATCAAGCGGAGCTTGCGGATGACCCAACTCATCTTGTGAGTAGTTGTGGGTGATTCACCATGCTAGAGTGGCGAAGAATCAGCCCATAGAGGGCACTTGATCCTTGCACGGATCAAGGGGGAGCGATACCATTGCACGGGTGCTCTAATGAGGACTAGTGGGGAGTGCCGACTCTCTGATACCTCAGCAAAACGTCGCCGTGTTCCTTCCCTCTCTTTACTTTGAGCAATTCAATACTTGTCTTTACATTCCTAGAATTGTCATGCTAGAGTAGGATTAGAACCTAGGTTGCTAAACTCTTTGTGCGATAGGACAATAGGATACACAATTAGGCACTAGGGGTGAAATGGGCTAAGTATAGGACTTAATTATTGAAAGAATTTTTAGAGAAGCCCAATTCCCCCCTCTTGGGCATCTTGATCCTTTCAATTGGTATCAGAGCTGAGTGCTCTTTGATTTAGGGTGTGTTTGGTTGAGCTGTGGCTGTGGGAAAAAGCTGCTGTGGGCTGTGAGCTGTGAGAAAGCTGCTGTGGGCTATGAGCTGTAGAAAAGCTGAAAGTTGTTTGGTTAAACAAGTATAAAATATACCTTCTATCTTTATCTCTCTTGAAACAATTGTGGAAGAGCT